ACTAATTAGTTTGCCAACACTTTTGAGTTGAATAATGAAAACATTCACCAAATCCATTCAACACTATTCCATGAATGCTATCGAAATCAACATACAAGTATGATTGTTTTTAACTAAACATAGGCAATAGTTCCGCTATCGAAATCATACGATTGTCTTAACTAAACATACATAAGCAATAGCTCGTTTCTCAGTTAGTTAATATGCGTACAAACGCAATAGGCAGTAGATCTAAAAAGTTGAAAAACAGAAAAAAAAGCGCCAGCAATCCAAAGCTATGCAACGAGTGTGAAACGGGTGTGTCTGAGTGTGTTTGTACGTTCGTGTTTCTACGTTAATTTTCCAAAATCGAGCACATTCGCTTTTGGCAGGGAGACAGTCGAGCGGACATCTAGACAGGCCGATAGACGTGCAGACGTTTTGTTTGGCTTTTCCCGGCAAATAGCAAATAGCAAACGGCAAACGGCAAAATCAGCAAAAAGTTTTGGCAAGAAAATGATCAATAATTTAGCTACAAAGTTTTCGCTGGATTTGTTGCCTTTGCTGGTCGAAACCAGTTTGTTGCCTAAGTCTTTTGATCTGGACCATTCAACTGTGCGCAGTCTAGGCGCGCCCATTACCTTCCACCATAGTCCGATGGTGCTAAATGCGTCAGATTTTTAAGGGCGTTATGTATTTATTAGCTACGGCATCCCTTACCGCAACGCAAGTAATTAAGTTACCCGAGCACCCGAGGTAGTTCCCGCCCATAGATATACCTGAGGTTCGGGGCTAGACGTGGCGCTTGCCCGCTAAAAATAAATACATACTTTCAAAACGTTCCGACGGCGACGGCGACGGTGACAGCGACAGCGGCACGCCCGTACACTAACTATTATTGCGGGCATTTGGCGGTCGGCCGGGTGCTCAGCCCCCTGGCGTCCACCCCTCTACCAGGTATGTATGTACGGGTATACATAAGTATTCAGCTATTTGCACCACGTTCACTTTCGGACATAAACAGCGTGCGCTTTTCTGCTCGATTTGTTTATACTCGTATGTACATACAAAGCTGTTGATCATTTCCCACACTCTCGTTCGCTGCATTATAGACCGGTTGCCAGCCTCCGTTTCAGTTTCGGTTTCTTTCGCAGTCGTAGTCACAGTCCCCGTCCCAGTCCCAGTCCCAGCTATAGCCTCAGCTATTGTCGTCATACGATCGCGTTCGTCTATGCCTTCAAATAGTGTGTGTAGTTTTGCGTTTTGTTTCGGCTTTTGCATTCTGTTGTTATTAAAACGGACTGGCAGGCGCAACCGTCCAAAATTGTCGACATCGACCCAATTCAGTTAATAAGAGGCGGTTGGCTGGTCAGCGGTCGTTGGTCGTCAATCGTCGGTCGTTGGTCGTTGGTCAGCGGTAGGCACTGTCTGTGGTTTTCGAGCGTTTAATTTGCATGATTGTTTTAAAGCACTCTACCAAAACATTAATTATCTACCAGAAATCTTGGGGTAAATTGGAAAGAAAGCAATTTTCGCGCCACTGACTTTAATATACACTTAAAACGATTAATTCAAATTAGATTATATTTTTTTTTTTCTTCTCAAATTTGATTTCGCAAACTTGTCTTAAATTATTGTATCATTAAATGCGCCATTTACTTCAAGGACTGTATACGTTTTATAGATAAGTTATACTACATTTTTGATATACGAGGGCACGATGAAATGTTACTGGCGGGGCCATAAAAACGACCTTCTCCATTAACCAACCCTTCCTCAAAACGATATTATAGTTATCGTTCGACGATCGATAACTGCAGTTTCGAATCGAAAACATCGATGCCGATGTCCATCGATGGTTAAAAAAAATCGATGCATCGCAACAACACATCGATGCATCGATGTTTTAAAACATTACCTTTTCCTAGAAAAAATGACTTAAATTTGGGGGGAAACCCACAGAGAGGTTTTAAATGAACAATTTTTATTTATCAAAAAAAGCATAATGTGGTTAACCAATAAAGAACTCATAATCCTGACTTTTGATAAACTTCTATGGCTTACTCACAAACCAACTTATTATTTGCAGTTTCGAAAACAATTCAATCAAGCAATGTGATAGGTAACATTATATACAAATCGAAATGAAGATCAAATACTAAACGCTAAAGTATATCTAACAATAAAATTAAAATACAAATACATATACCTCCCGTAATCGCACAAAAAATATGAGCGCCCAACAAAATATGAAAAATATTCGATGGATCGACGATACTAACATCGGAAAACACCGATGCATCGTGGTAAAAACATCGTCGATGTTCGATACATCGATGTTTTTTTACATCCCTATAACCTTTGACGAACAAATCGGTAAAATTCATAGTTCTGAACGTCCGTCGAATTAAATTAATAGAGTGATAGCCGAGATCGCTGAGATGTTTAAAGAGCGCAAATTTGTCAAATTTTGAGTAACGAATTGGACCTGACAAAGCTCTCGGCAGGTTGGGTGTCGCGTCTGCGCACTATCGATCAAAAGCGAATGTTCGAATGAATTGTTGCAAGTCGTGACAAAAATCCATGAATTGCGCTTTGAACTGCTTCAGCATCCATCTAACTCTCCAAGCCTAGCTCCAATTGCCTTCTGTTTATTCCATAAGCTCGATGCTGCGCTTGGGGGGCAGGAATTTCAAATTCTGTTCAACTCTTGTACTTTTGTCAGGATAGAAACATTTCGGACTGCCCTCGTACATAGTCGTAAGTGAAGTTTGAAAGCTTAATTCAAACAGCGCTTATTTCTCCCCTCGAAATTATGTAATACATGTAACCAATTTTTCTATAAATACGTATTGATGTGTCACATTTAAATGAAAGCACAGCTTTCTGTAGGATAATCTTTAACGAGTACTGGCTTACATAGTCTAACAAATAAATTGTTTCGATGATATATAGATGGCTATAGATAGTCTGAAAGTTATGCTCCAGTAGTTATTTGTCATTTAACGCATTCAGATAAAGCATTGGACTCTTATGTAGTTTGCCATTTAAGTTCAGTTAAGCTGGGGTTAAAATATGTACGTCCCTTTCCATCTTTGTTAACCATATTGTCCTTTTTATTGCTATACTATAATAAATGCTTGAAAACATAGTGTATATACATATTCAAATCTTAATTTGCGAATAATATTTCTATTCTCTCTCTATTAATCAAAATCATTTTCACACTTTAATCGCTCCCAGGTGGTCGTTTTTTGTCTTTACCGCAAAATTCGAATTTTAAATTAAATAATAATCAATACATAATTTACTAATAATTATAGTTTATGTTTTAGATTAAAACTTATATGTTTTTCACAGCTACGATTTCCCAAAAAGCCTAAACAGGTTTATTTATTTTATTTATTTATTTCAACAAACATTGACTGTCGACATAGGAAAATATATAAAAAGCATCTTATAAGCTAGAAAAGCCTAAGAAGGAGAAATTTAATCAAATTACAATAATATCTAATTACAAGTATTCCTAAAAACGCCATGTCTACTTTATCTGAAATCTTAATTTGCGAATAATATTTCTATCCTCTCTTCTAATCAAAATAATTTTCACGCTTTAATCGCTCCTAGGTGGTCGTTTTTTGTCTTTACCGCAAAATTCGATTTTAAATTAAATAATAATCAATAATTTACTAATTATTATAATTTATGCTTTAGATTAATACTTATATGTTTTGCACAGCTAGTAGGAGGCTACGATTTGGGAAAAAAGCCTAAACAGGTTTAAATAAATAGTTTAATGGTAAGAAAACAGGAAAAATGACAGAAAAATTACGAAAATGTAAAATTTTTAGTGATGAAAATAAAATATTGAATGTAACATTTTTTTAAGAACTTGTTAGGAAAGATATTTTTGAAATATGCTAGTTTTGTTTATACCCAATGGGCCCGAAGTGTTCGCCTCTTCTTCCTTTCTACGGAGCTACATAATATCGCCCATAAAGCTAGATCAAAATTTCGTAGAAATCCAAGATTTCCATAAATAAATTACTCAAACTGTTTTTAAAGCTAACATTTCCAAAGAGTGTGTTTCTTAAAAAGATCTTTTAATGTCTATTTCATTATTTCTCAATGTTTTACATGATGTGACACTAGCCTTATTGCCTAGCAATTGCCTTATATAGTAGTAATCAGTCGATTAGTTTATAGTCGTCATCTTGATAATTCCCTTTATTCAATTCGGAAAAACTATAATTTAGTTTTGCAAGCTTTGTGGCCCAACAAGTTCACTTATGCATGGGGTTTATGGTGGAGAAGCATTTGAATAACAATACATAGTGCCTGCAGTGCTTTCAAACTTGCCAGTAGATTACAAATTAATTAATTGGTATGTGTTGGATATTTTTCGGCCTGCGACATTTATGACAACCTAGACCTTCCCCAATACGTAACGAAGCGTTTTCGAAATTTTCATAAATTAGTTGCGTTTTCAAAACCACTTTCAATAAATAAATGCCTATGCGTGTATACGAGCAGACACTAGTATGTGTATTACCTTGGTGGTTGCTTGCGTATGTGTGTGTGTGTGTGTGTCGAGTGGGTGGCTGGGTGCTCAACACTGCCACTTTTTACTTTGATTGTCGCTATTGTGGAGCCTATGAGACACACACACACACACATGGCAGCTCGCACCTATTTGATGTATATGTGGTGTGAGGTCTGTGTGTGTGTGTGTGTGTGAGTGTAGTACGATATACAGTTAGTCGTAGTGCGAAAAACCAGTTTGTTACCTCAGTCTTTTGTTTTGAAGCGCGCATTTCACACAGAAGGGCAAGCCGCAGCTTAACACACACACATAAACCCCTCTATATAGTCGAACAACAACCTGTACATGCTCAATAATGATAATAATAACAACAACAACAACAACAACAGCAACATGATACAAGTACATATGCACATACTATATACATATGTACACATACATACATATGTATATGTTATGGAAAATCGCCAAATCTCACCTTGTGCGCAGGTTTCCATTGCGTGTTGTCTTGGCTGCGAGCTTTAGGTTGCCGGCGGCGCTGCTGCCGCCACCACTATTCAGTTGGCTGGCGCTGGTGCGGGGCAGACGGGGATTGCTGTTGCCAGCCACAGGGCGCACAGCTCCACCTGATGAATTGCTGGTCGCTGCCGTGCCCGGTAGCGCCTTGCCCGCGTCTACAATGCTGGCGATCAGCAGCAGGAGTAGAACGAGCATTAAGGCCAATCGCAGCATTGCGTCTCTATAGGACCGAAAGGGCCACATTCTTTGTGAATATTTTTGCAATTTGTGTGTATATTTTTTTGTATGTACGAGTATGTACTAATTCGTTATGGAACGCGCTTAATTCACAATCGAAACGCAATTGAAATTATGCTGACACTTCGCGTTCAAATCGATCTGTTTGGCGCGGCTGCACAAAAACACAAAAAAATTTTAACTCTCATTTGACGCATTTGGCGCATTTGACTTCATCGATGCATTTTTATGCGATTTGTCTTGATCAGCTCAGCTCAGATCAGCTCGGCTCAGGTGCGTGGAATCGAAATCAGAGCAAATTTTATTCATGTGCACGCGCGCATGCACAAGTGTGTGTGTGTGTGTGTGTGAGTGTCGGTGGCTTTATGTGTGCGTGTGTGTTCGTGTGTGCCAGATCGACATGGACCTTTCATTAGAAGAAATATGTTTGTTTATTTCATTTTTTTGTTTTCAATAAAAAATCTGGTTTTGTATGTATTTTTGCAATGTTTTTTTTTTGTATATACTATACATACATATATATTTTTTTGTTTTGTATTTTTATGACCGGCTGCTGCCTTGTTCTATTTGTATTGGCTTTGCAGCAGCAACAACAACAACAACAGCAGCAGCGAGCTTAATATTTCTAATTGCAAGATCAAAATAATGCTTATATCAATTGTTGTTTAGCTAGCTAGCTATTGTTTTGTTTTTTCTTTTGTTTTTGTTCTACAACAAAGTCGTTGCTGCTGCGCCCGTGGCAACATGGCCAATTATTTGTCATTCATTTGCATTCAATGCAAGAAAATTCACGACGCCAATTTACGTAATTGCTGGTCGAGTCCGGGAGAGGGGTACTGCGGAAAGAAAGGAAACGGGGAAAGGGGTGGTGCTGTTGCATTGAATTAAGCGCATGGGCATTAGAATTCATTTAAAATAATGAACAACTATATACCAAGTTTAATCTAGTACTAATCTCCAATCGCTCTGACACAACTGCCTAAATGAGTTGTTGGTGTAGATGGGGGGCGGAGCCTGTTAATAAATTTCTCAAACATCTCACACTCCAAATACAATCAAAATATTACTGCTGCATATTTGAATTGGTAATTTGCACTCTTTTTTCGCACACTCTGTTTTATTCGCTCGATGGATGGACAGCCACAGACCGAGCGACTCCACTTTTAATTTACGACTATGGCCGGACTGTAACTGCACAAATAATGCATTGAGCGAGTAGTTGTGGCTATATATATGTATGAACATATAGTAAGTAGTTATATTTTGTAACCACAGTGCGCGCTGCATAAAAAGGTTTACAACAACAGTAAGAACAACAACAACGCACACTCAAACAATCGCAGAGGCACAGGCGCAGGCGCAGACGCGGACGACGAATGCAGAAATTAACGCAGAAACGAACATTTTTCAAAAACTCAGCTCCGTTAACCAACCGCACAAAACCGTGGCCGAAACTCATCTGAGCTGTAGGCTCTGATCAGTCTCAGCTGGGAGCTACAGAGCAGCTCAGTGTCGCGCTGCTGCGCCGCGCCAGTGCTGCCAATTAGGCTATTTTCCAGCCACTTCTGGAGCATTTCAAATGCTGACGGCGGGACTTGAAGGGTTTTTAAAATTTCAGACTGCTTTTTTTTAAAGTAAATTTACAATATAAAGATTGTATATCTAAACAGACCATTGACATCATGTCATTTGTATTGCTTTTAATTTCGAAGAATTTAGAAGTAGTCAGGGGAGCGTGGTAGAGCCTGCAAAAACTCCTCAATACCGACCAAATCAGACTGCTATATTAAGTAGAAGTCATTGGAAGCATTTATCTTAATTTCTGCAGGAAAATAAGTTCTTAAAAGTATTGCTTAAATGAGTAACGCTTAGTAGGAAGTAATGTATCCAAAATATTACAAACAAACAAATATGGACTTATTATTCAAAATTCCAAAGTTAAAAAATTAATAAATTTTAAAAGAAATAATTATTTTCTGAATTTTGTTGGCGACTACTGAGAACCTGAGGCTATTAAAGTGTATGTTTTCATTAAGCCTGAACACCTTTTCTCCCTATAATATTCAGAAGCTATAAAAAAATTGTTTTCAATTAGGTTAATTTTTTCCTTTGGTACTAATGCGTCTAAACGTTAACAAGATATCAACTTTATTTCAGAATATTGTAATATTTTGAATAATGGAAGAAATTTGAATTACATACTTAATAGCTGATACTTTTAAAGTTTAAGGGCATAGTTTTCCTATGGAAATGATAGCGATAAAAAAATCACAGCCTTATGATTTTATAGTTATTTTTATCACTTCTAGCTTGTTTCAATTGCTGATCTAGCCTTTTTTCATTTCAGCAGTTGGGCAACACTGCTTGCAGTCTGTCTGATAAGTCTCTCAGCTGAAGTTTGGCGCTTGGTTACAACACGCTTGTGATTTCTCTCTTGAGAGCAAGAGTGGAACTTGTTTGTGTTTTTTGTTATTCAACGAAAGCGAGAGTGGTCGACTTTACAGTTTCTGTCTCTTCGTTTGTGTGCATGTGGTGTGCCTGTGTGTGTGTGTGTGTGTGTGTGTGTGTGTTGGGGGGGTTTCGCGAAAATCTGTGGATGTAATGTTGTTGGAGTCCACCACACCGTTTCGACGTTGGCCACCGAGTTTTGAATCAATCGATGATTTTTCTGCATTCATTTCTTTTGGCTCTTTGGTATGTGTTTTGTTTTAGTTTTGCTATTTTTTGTCTCTGTTATTTTTTATATCTATTTGATGTTGTTTGTTTTTTTTTGTTTTTTGTTTTTGCAAGGCGAAACTAGTTTTGCATTTGTTGCTCAAATCTCGTTTTAGTTTAGGTCCAAAGAAACTCGCAACGAATGCGGCGGCACTCGTTGAGTTTGAGTCTTTTGTTTGAAAAATGCATAATATGTATTTAGGTTTATTGCGTGCGATTGAATTGGCTTGTTGGCAAGATGAAAGTAAGTACATACATACATACATACATATACTCGTTTACAAATGACCGGTAGCGGCGTCATATTTTTTGAAGGATTGCATTTAGCCGTTAACAATGATAACATCGCATTAAGTTAGAGCACTTCATTGTAGAATCTTGACATGATATCGTTGAGCCAAGTCCGCACGATTTGGATGCGTGTATAAACTCCGGGCTTATTGGGCAATGCACAGCCTACACCCCATGAAACAATCCCGTATAGCTCCTCCCGTACCACCAATGGCCCGCCAGAGTCCATTTGGCAGGCGTCGATGCTACCGCGCATATATCCCGCGCACACCATTCGATCGGTTATGATGTTGCCCATCAGACGATTGCACAGCTCCTGATCAACAATCGGTACTCGGGCGTAACGCAACAGCTCAGTGCCAGGTCCAAAAATAGTCGTATAGCCCCAGCCGGCAATTGTGGCAAAGGTTCCGGCCGGTACAGAGCTACCTGCCAAGGGAATGGCTCTCACTTTGTCGCTAAAGGCCATGGGAGAGTCCAACCTGACAATACCAATATCCCAGTCCATTGTCTGTCTGGTCCACTTTTCATTGTAATGGAACGCGGCCACCGTGAATAGTTGGCCATAGTCTGCAGCACGGTTAGTGCCGCCCACCTTAATTTTCAGCATGCGGGGCGTGGTCTTCTCCAGGCAATGCGCAGCCGTGACAATCGTCCGCTCGTTAACAACAGCCCCGCCACAGAAGTGCTGGCCATATTGCTGCAATGACGCCATATAGGGTATGGAGCCCTCAATGGCTGGAAAGCCGCCGACAATTCGCGGCTTGGGATGTTGGCCTTGGCCTAGAATGCAGCTTTTCTCGGCATACACCAAGATGGTAAAATATAATAAAATCGTCTTCAACATTCTAAGCTTTCCAACTTTTTCTGGCAACCAATCTTCAAAGACTGGAAAGCGTTCGATTTACGGGGTACCTCGGAACGGTGACTCAAAGCACAGCATTTTGATAAGTAAAATGGCAAGAAGAAGCAAAGAACATTATTTTGTAATTAGCAACGAGCAGTTTTATCTTCGGCGATACTCGGAAAGTTTTAGTGCAACGTGTGTAATGGAGATAGCGAATATTTTATGGGCATAATATTTATGACCGTGATAAGTCAGAGAACATGCTTTTGGACTAAAAAGGATGCACAACAAATCAAATCTATAATTTCAATAAGATTTCAAGTTAGGGAAATCAAGCATTATTGGAATATAATTGTTTTGAAACGAATTTAATTTGAAATACGCAAATATTATCGGACTCTAAAGCAGAACCGCGAGAAAGAGAATTAATCACAAACACAATGCAAAATAAAAATGGATGTAAAACAATATTTAAGTTCATTAGCTATATATAAAAAATATATAAATACATATAAGTAAATAATATTAAAATCAATCAATATTTATAGGTATTTCAATATCTCATGGGTAAATTTTTCCCCCGCTTTTTTTTTGCATATTAGAAACTTTCCGTTCACTCATAAACTGTAAAAGCATACATCATATATGTTTACGTTGATAAGGTTTTATAATCTGTACTCTTTATTATTAACTAATTATAGATACACACCAATTTATGATGCCAATTTTTGTGAATAAATGCAATGAAATGAAAATATTTCAATATTATTGTGTGGGAAAATCTTTAAGTTAAGAAGAATTAAGAAATATGCCACTTTTTCAGTACGTCCACCGAATAATAAAATGTAACGATAGCTGCAACTAAGAATGGATTAAAATATTAACATTCATTCTATAATTTCAAATAAAGTGCAATTGCAGATTAATTTTATTTGAAAACGAATATTAGCGTTTGTAACAGTCGTGCAGGCTCAATGCTGCCAGCTATGAAACTGCATAGTGTTGTAAACTGCAAAATTACTAAGCTGCCCAAGAAGGGGTACAATTTTGACAAGTTGGCACACCAGCAGATCGCGCAAATATTTAAAACATACAAGTAGTTTTAATAAGCGCATACATTCGTGTTGTAGATTATTTTTTATTAGTAATCAGTAAAACGCAGATCACTTGAATTTGGCGTGCATTATCAGAATATTGATTGGTTTTCATTAGTAACAAGCCAAAGTCGAGTGTGTGTATACCTGTGTGGCAATATATACAAATGCTATTTTTACTGCGTGACGGTGGTGGTGTGTGTTACTGTTGTTATTGTTGTTGTTGCCTGCTGGAGTAGAACATCTGCCGCAGAGAGCGTGCCACCGAAGCGACGCGCACGCATGCTCAGTGGAGAGTAAATCGGCAGCGACTAAAGAGCTGAGCTCGCAAACTCGCTTTTGTTTACGCAGCTGCCACAAATTTAAAAATAGCGTCGGCATATCGCAAGGACCAAAAGAATTGTGTGCATCATATTTGTTTAAATTAAAATTGAATTTCGCCTAAACTGTGAAATAAGTGAAAAATGTCGCCGCATATATTTTTGATACTGTTCGGTCTCACTATCGTGCGGCTTTGCTGCTCCTTTCCCCTCGAAGATGAGCAGCCGGCAACGCAACCGAAGCATCATCAGAACTGGAGGCGGCAGGAAATGATGGATAACAATGGCCTTTATTGGCTCGAGTGGTGGGTCACGGCAAAGAAAATTCATTTTCGCATCACGGTCAACACGCAAGGCTTTGTGGGTCTGGGATTTTCGCGAAAAACCGGCCACATGGCTGGAGCGGATATGGTACTCCTCTGGGTAGACGATCGGACTGGAGAACCCAATGCGTTGGTAAGTGAAGGCTTTGTTTATTTGCGTGCCATGGCGTTACTTGATATGGCTTACATATCGGGAAAGGGCGGGCCACAAAAACAAAAAGGAAGCACGAAATGTGTGTGTAGCATCCTTTCAAATACTTGCCGATCCAGTTGAGCAACTTTTGTTGTTATTGTTTTTGTGCAAGACATACTATACTATACTATACGAGTACATGCATGCATCGTCATACAAAAATCCTTGAACATGAAGTTTGGGGTTGTATTTGCAATTTTTTGTTTTGCAATTTTGTTAATTTTACGATGTAACTGCGAGTCAGAACTCAATTAAGCGGCCTGTGGAGTAGCTGCGCGGGCAGGTAAGCGGTCGCTCGCTTACCTGGCCCGCCGCTAGAGCTGTGCACGTGATTAGGAATGCCGTCACAATCACGCACATTTACAAAGTCATTTAGTTTTGTTAAATTTACCGCAAGTCACGCATTTTCTCTATATTTCATTAACACGCAACTTTAGGCGATATTTTTTAAAATAAATAATTTTATTTATTTATTTATAACCTGTGCCCAAAGGGTAAAAGGGGCTGGCCGTTCGTCGGTATGAACGAAATGATCTCAGAAAGTATAAAGGCTAGCATAATTAAACTTTGTATGCAGAAATTTTGACATTTTCTTAATTTTATTATTCTACACATATGAAGGGAGTATTTAAAAGTTGGGACACTCGACTTTAGCTTCTCCACTTATTTCTTTTTATTTTGATACAAAAGTTGCTCGAAGTTTAAGAAGTAGTATCTGTTTCTCGTTTGTATAGCCTATACCCAAAGGGTAAAAGGCTATACTAGTCTTGTGCGAATGTATGTACAACACAGAAGGAGGCGTGGCAGACCCAGTGTATATATTATTGATCAGGGTGACAAGCCGAGTCGATATAGCCATGTCCGTCTGTATGAGCGCAAGGATCTCAGAAGGTACAAGAAAGCCCTATGCGGGTCAAGTTGTTTTTTTTTATTCTGATACACCACCCCCCCCCCCCCCCCCCCCCCACTCCACCGACATGCATGCATGTAAACACGCAAAGACACGATGCTGATGTAAATGTATGCTATTGAAACTGTACATGAACATGTCTTTAATTTAATTAATATAATTTTTTTTTTTTCCATTTTTTCCTTTTTGCTGGGAATACAGAGTATTTAAGACTCGCTCGACTTTAGCATTTCTTTCTTGTTTTAGTTTCTTTTATTATTGTATACATATGAACAGAGTATTTCAAAGTCGGGATAACCGACTTTAGCTTCTCCCCTTCTTTCTTTTTAGTTGTTCGAAGTTTAAGAAATAGTATCTGTTTTTTCGTTTTTTGAACGTAACGTATAGATTTTTCTGTTTCCGGAATAGATTTTTCGGAGTAGTTCCCATAACGTACTTTAGGTTATCAGTTCTAACAAAAACGTTATCTCTTTTTAATAACAATTGCTCAGTCGTAGCCTAATTTTCCCACAAATTTGTTCAATTTTTGTTTGGTTTAATTTCATGATATAGAGATACCGGTTTTTTCTGAAATATTCACAAAATTCACGGCACTTTATAGCTTTTTACGATCACATTTTAACAAAAATATTTATACAAGTATATATATAGTGTAACCGAGCTGCCTCTTTATTCCAGGACTGTTACGGCTCATTTAGTCATCCGCACTTGGCTCCGATGCGGGATGATACTCAGAACTACCAGGTCATCAGTGGTTCCCAGAATGGTACGCACACAGAGGTGGAGATCTCGCGACAGATTGAAACGTGCGATCCCTATGATATGCCCATTAATGTAAGTTCTCAAAACGGGTTGAAGGAAAACCTAAATGTAGGAACAAACATAACGACTTAATTTCAGGGCGACACCATTAAGGTGTTGTGGTCCTTTGGAGATACGGATCCCATCCATGGAAACTTGAAGGGTCACGGGCGAAACCGTGGGGTCAAGCCCTTGCATCTGTTGAGTCCATTGTTCGAAAAAAGTGCCGCCATTTTACAGCCAACAACCGGCAAGCGTGAGACACACAAATGGGATATATCCATGCAGAATGTGACCATCGAATCGTCAATGGATACCCTCTATTGGTGCAAAATTGTGCGGGCGCCCGTGCTTAACAGCAAACAGCACATCGTGGGCTATGAGGCGTTACTCACGCGTTTCGGGTGAGTTGATTACAAAATTATCCATTGTTTTAAATCGATAATGGAATGTTTTCTCATTTGCAGCAAATCCCATCAGCCGCTCGTGCATCACATGACCCTGTTCGAATGCTCCACAAAATCCTATCCAGGTGCGGACTCGAGCTCCTGGGATGTCTGGTCGAAGAGCACAGGTACGGAGTGCAACAGTAATCTGTTAACCCCTCGGGATTGGGACTCGTGTGCCACGCCCGTGGCTGTCTGGTCCATTGGTTCCACAGGCCAGTTCCTGCCGCCGCACGTGGGCATCCCAATGGGGGGCCAATCGGGTGCCAAATACTACATGCTCGAGGTTCACTACGACAATCCAAATGGCTTGCATGGTAGGTGTTCCTTTTAGATTAAACAAATTTCCGCTAATTGCTGTTCCCTATGCAGCCGTCGATCACTCGGGCTTTCGGATACACTACACGCATCACCTACGGCCCAATGATGCGGGCATAATGATTAGCGGCGTCTCTGTCTCCGACACTCAACTAATACCACCTGGACAGAAACTGTACCGCAACGTTGGCATTTGTGGACCCTCCTGTTCGAATGTGGTGAGTAGTTTGGGACACCGCCCTTTGTGATATTTTGTGAATCTTTCAACTCTTCTCCATCACCAGATGTTTCCCAGCGATGGCATCAAAATTATATCCGGTACCTTACACTCACATCGGGCTGGCCGCAAAATGAGTTTGCGCCATGTTCGAGCTGGTAAGGAGCTGGAACGGATTATTGAGGACGAGAACTTCGATTACAACTACCAACAGGTGCGTCAATTGGCCAACGAGACTGTCGTCTTGCCTGGAGACTACATCATTACGGATTGCGCCTATGAGACGACGAATCGCAAGCGTCCCACCTTTGGCGGCTATTCTACCAAACAAGAGATGTGTCTCTCGTTCATCACATACTATCCAAAGATCGATCTAGCCGGCTGTTATAGTATGACTCCGGTGCGAGAGTTCGTCGAGACCTTTGGCGTTATGCAGTTCTACTCCCTGAGTATGACAGATGTGGAGAACCTATTTCTCTATAATGGCAATCTATTGGACTACATACCCAACACCATCTATGCCAAGACGAAGAAGAGCCGTGCCAATATGACCGCCGAAGATATACTCTACGAAGAGTCCTTATTAAGTATGCACCATTTCTCTTGCTTTACGTATCTAGTGTTATAGCTCTTTATACCTACAGATCAGCTTCTCATCTCGGACCCCGTTGAGTTTCACGATCGCACATTTCTCTCACATCTAAATCAGTTGCCGTGGTCGGAACCGCTCTTCACAAAGCGCGTGGAACACGCCATGATTAATGGCAAGCACATGACTTTTTGTCGCATCTCAAATGAGTCAATTACGATTGTAAGTGTTTCGTCTTGCACCTCCGCTAATGGAACATATCGCCTAATTGTTTTATTTTCTTTCAGCCCTCCGAAATAATACGTTACCCGAACTTTACGACTTTTGTAAAGCCGCCTAGTACGTGTCCCTATCATCTTTTCATAGACAACGCTCCACTTATATCCAGCGCACCTCAACTTGTGGATGACTTAACGCTTTGGGTGTATCTGCAAGTGATTGTTGTGTGTCTATTAGGAGCGCCATAGATTAATTATTTACCATTATTTAGAACTTAATTATGTTAAGATGATTTTAAAGCCCAACTTTAGGGCATCCGGTTACAATCTATCAAGCAATAATTTATCATTTTTTATAGAAGCTGTTTTCAAATTCTATTCACTCCATCCATTTATATATTTACTCGTTTAAATTTTTTTCTTTGGCAGATAATTTTTTGCTTAAATAACTTCAATGCACTTTTATACCTCATATATTCTTACCAGTTTTTCAAATAGTATCATTTTTTAAATTTTGCATTTAAATTTTTTAATTGATTAGCCTTACCTACATACTATGTACAAAGCAGATAGCATACAACGCTAAAAATGTGTTTAGTCATACGAGTTAAGCAGTCTATATATCAAGGCTTACTTTGATATTCGCACACACCTATATTTAACAAATTAAATAATCCAAAGATATATTTAAGACTTTAAAATAGTTAAAGAATTGTAATGTATTTCTAAAATTGGCCTACTTAAATATACAAAAATATCTAAGAAAATACTTGCACTTAAAAATTTAATATTTAGGAAAAACGTAAGTACACCTCATTCTGTTTTTACACGGTAGATTGGTTCCAGAAACAACCGTGTAGAAAAAGACATTAATCATATGCGAAAATAGGTGATGGGTTCCTTATCTCTAAAAAAAAGATATGCGATTTTTAAATTTCAAACTGTGTTATATCAAAATCGTGTAAAAAAGACCGGGTAAAAACAAAATTAGGTGTATATTCATCCATTATTCAAAATATTGCCCTTTTTCCAAAATTGTGTGATGTGGTTGGCTTTATTTAATTACCTTCTCCAAAGTTTTAATAATCGTCTTTGGAATAATTACGAATTGTATAAGATATGAAAATGATGTTTATTTGTCTTAAAAAGTCGTAAAAAGTCACTTTTGACTGATTCCAAGGCTGCGAAATAGAATTTCAAAAGTTGTTTTGTTCATTTATTTTAACGGCTATGAGGAAAAAACTGTGTTGGCTAACGTACTACTTTGATATTTTGGTATTTATTTTACCATACATTCTGTCATTTTTCTTTTGTATACATTTAATCACACTATACTTTTGCGTTCGTCGACAAAATATCGATAAATCGTTATCGTCGGTAAAACCAAGCAAATTGGTTGCAGTAGACGCAATTTTCTTTTGTGAAGTTGGACAATTAAGAAATATATGAAATGTGTGAAATAAAGGCGAAGTAAAGGCATTTTGTGAATTGAATGAGGAAACGATAAGAAAACGCACGAAAATGGATGTGGACGACAATTTTTATGGTAAGTCTGCGTCACGCTGTCCTCGTTTTTCTGGGCCATAATGATACATATGTATGTATGTATGTACATACACCGTCATATTTTCTGACCCTTCACTTTTTGCTGTGGGTGCATCACTCACTATGTATATGTACATACATATATATAAATGTTAATAAATGTATATACATTTTGAACTATTAGTCGTATTAGTAGGTGCTTGTGATTTCATTTTTTGATTGTATACAATTTCTATTGTTCCATAAAGGAAAATATAATTTGATTGAGTTTCCATATGCCAGCTTTTACACGGCAGCTACCACGTTTTTTTTTAACGATGACTTTCTTTTCGATGTGCCGCATGCGGGCAAGTTTCCTTTATAAAAACAGGTTTTTCTATTATTCAATTGGGAGATACCAGTGGAGGCAGCATTATGTTAAGTTGTGGAATGAATGAATAACGCAGCTACTTTGTATATCTTTCCTACATCTAAAGTGTGGTATTCAATGTTGTTCATCCTTATCAGCAGTGAAGTGCTTTTAGTGATTTTTTCCTTCATATGTATTTGTGGTCCAACGCTGCCCAGCGGGACTGATAAGATTAGAATACTACAGCAGATATGATTTCGAAATAGTTTAGACGCTCAGCATGCGGCAACAATTCATTTAATCAGAAGTAATACAAATAGCTAAAATGCAATACCTACATCTACTTGCAGACGAATTGTCGTCTTTTATGCCGTCGCCAGACGAGTATGGCCTCAATAATAGTGATCTGGACGACATCATCGGATCGACAGTGTCCCAGCTGGATTCATCTATTGATTTAAATACCTTCATACCGCCACCACCACCTGAGCAGCTGCCACCGCAGCTGAACACATTGATGTACTCGGATTTACCGCAACCAATTGGACAGAGCCAACTAGATTTTGATTTAGGTTTTGGTTCATTATCGGCATTCTCTTCGCCTGCATCGTCCTCGGAACGCACCCCATCTACATCCTCTACGGAAGGACCCGACTACTTTGACGACTTGATGAACTTCCTTAACAAATCTGATGTATTGACCCGTGACAATCTATTAGAGCACATGCAGGCCCGCAACACACCCTCACCAACAGGCAGTTGTAGCAGCTCCAGCGGCAGTTCGACCAGTGGAGTTCACAGCGACATTTCGGACACGTGCAGCAGAGCGAGCAGCGTATCTCAGAGCAAGTTGCACGATCAGATCGACATCGAATCGGCCGCGTTTGGTTCCCAGCAGACACAACAAGCAACATACACGCCCAGCTTTGAGGATGCAAGCCTCGCTTCTATGCTTAGAGAGGGCAGTGAAGATATGTTGATGCAGCCACAACCTCACCTGATGTCGGTAATTACAATGCCCGTATTGCAGCAGCAGCCGTCAACGCAGCCATTTACCGTCAAGGTTGAGCCAGGAATGCCCGTCCCAATAATGCCGCCACCCGTTAAAGTCGTGCCTGCACCGCTTCAGGTGAAAATAGAAAACCCTTCACCCGCTCCTGAGCCGGCCACTGCTACTAAAGTGGTCACATCGGCAACCACAAGCACCGGCAAACCGAAAACAATATTCCTCTCCTCCAATGACTTCAAGGCCCTCATGCAGAAAATGAATTCTACCAATGCCAAGGGCGTGAAGATTAACGGCAGCGTCAATGCACAAATGCCCAAGATCATCATGAAGACCAACAATGGCAAGATAATAGCTGCCAATAAAATGGTGCAGCCGATGAACGTCACGCATGTCAACGCTCCCAAGTTGGTGAACCAGCAGACTTCCCATCCAACGAAACTCGCAACGAGCAGCCGTGCCGCTATCAGTGGCACCTCCCGCCCACTGGCTGCAACAACAACACATACTGCATCGTCTGCAGAACCATCTGGTGTTATCTACAGGGGAATGATTGATGAGAAAATGTATAAGAAGCAGCAGCGCATGATTAAGAATAGGGAGTCGGCATCGCTTTCCCGCAAAAAGAAGAAGGAGTATGTCGTCTCGCTTGAGAGTCGCATCAACAAACTCGAGCAGGAGAACTACACATTGAAGGGGGTAAGAACGAACTACTGTTGCTGTTGCACAATGTGGCACTTAGATAGATGTCTTGTTTATTTCGGTGAAGTCAAACAATGTTGCATAAGCAGTGTCAGCATATATCTTATCAATGGTCGGTGGCCTCGTTGCTAAACTGCACACCCAGACCGAGATCGCTCAGCGAGTCCGTACTGATAAGCAGAATGTCAGAAATAATTACAAATACTAGGCGACAGCGACGCGTGCAAGTTTCCAAACAGGTTTCTCGGTCCACACATTTGTTAAAACGCAAATGCAACTTCACAATTAATTCAATTTCATTGTTCAATCTTTCAAGAGCCATGCTTTCAAAACAAATGACACAGACGGTTCTGATTACGTTTGCAAATCTAGGCTGTGGATTAAATGATTCTCTGCTAGCAGTTTCCATTTCAATCGCAGTTTCTTTTCACTAACCAATACATTCTCCAAACACTAAAGTGGCTTTTTTATTCATTACAGGAAAATGTTACATTGCGTAATCAATTGGTCGCCTTTGCCAGGACCTGCAAGTGCCGCGACGGCAACGTTAGTGAATTTGTGCTTAATTCGCTGAACGCATCGGTTAAGGGCGAACAGCAACACGTGAAGATTGCGCCGAAACCCGCTCTGAAAAGTCTCAAGCAACGAATGACAGCAGCCACTGTCAAGAAGAATGTAGCTGTGCTGTTTGCCATGGCGTTTATGGTGACCCTGAATGCGGGCAACTTCCAGTCATATCTGAAGAAGACGAATCTAGATGGGGATGGCGCCGTTCTTGAGTCCATGGTGGAGGAGCCCATGTCCACTGGTCGTCGTCTGCTTTGGGTCGAGACCGAGGAGGAGTACAATGAGAAGCTGAACCGCAGCAAGCGCCAAGCAGCAGCAGAATTGGATGTGCCACCACTGCACTTCCTGCGCCCCGCAAATCGTAGTGCCAACGGCACCAGCACGGCAGCTAGTGAGACCAGCTTTGATCCGCCACCGCTGGCAAGTGTTGTGCCACCCAAATGCAATGGATCTTGTGCCGCAACTGCAGCGAGTGGCAATCAGTCTGAATTCTCGCGCCTGGCACATAATCTGCACAAATGGATTGACGGCAACGACTATCTGAATCTGAGCATGCACACGAAATTTGGCAACGAACTGGACAACCCACATGGCTTCAAGTTAACAACGGACTATCTGGAATTGAAAACTGACATGGAACGGCAATCGCCTCATCCGGGCAAACGCAAGATATACATCGACTACAATGAAAAGGTGACTGGCCACAAGCAACGTAAAATGGACACTACGGATACGAAATTACATGAAAAGGACGACTTAATGCCGCTAACACATAAGGACAACGGAGAAAAATCACTAAAACTATATAAGCCGAACATTGACGAGGAATACTTGCGACTATTTAAGGGCATTAAGCGACAGGACGACACTTTTTACGTCCTCTCATTCAACATGGAGCATATTCTGCTGCCGGCCTCTTCCTATAACAAGAGTACCAGACCGAAGATGTCATTGCTATTGCCAACCGGCGATCCAACAAGAAACGGCGACATCGTCCTAATGCAGATCGATTGCGAAGTATTCAATACCACACAGCTCGAGCTGAAGTCCCACATGATACCGGCCAAGCTGCGCCCAAATGTGACCAAATGGCATCCAACCACACCCAAGCCGACCGATGTGGCTAACAATGAGACGCAAGGAACAGCCGCGAAGTCGCGCGATAAATTGCCACTCAAGTTTGAGCCACCGAAGGAGAAGCCGCGCGTGCGTACATATTTTATGATGGGCCCAAAGAATCAAGCCGCGGCAGCAGCATCTTCGGAGCAGCCCCGTTTGGTCAAATTTAATAGCACCGAACCAACTATAGCCAATCAGCCAGCCAGAAATGGCACACTATATGCGCGAATGCGCGAAACAGTGCGCGGCGAGTTTGGTCCTTAAGGGATCACACCAACCAAGCCTTTAGCTAGATCAGTGTTTGTACATTTATTTCGGTTTCACCCGTCACGTTTTGTATTTAAATTTTGAACTCTAAGGTTCTCTCATTCTACTTGAGGTTTCTCGTTTCAAAGCTGCATTGCATTTTAAATATAAATCGGAAACTAAACTGCTCATCCATATTGAAGATTTTAATTAATTGTATTGAAAGTTTGCTCAACAAAGAGTCAAAGCGTTCACGGCGTGAAAGTATTGTATTAGACAAAGCATTATATTTTGTTTTTGACGGACAGATGTAACTTAGATCTACTTTTTATATGTACTATATATGTTAGGCAATTATATGATTTCTTGAAGATGCAATTTTTATATTATAAGTGTAATATTATTATCAATCATTTTTTCCTGGCACGAAAATGTTCTTTCACATATATAATAACCGGATATGCAATAAACAGATATACACTTTTGTTATATAATAACTTAGTAAGTACTTTCAATGTGGCAATAGCAAATAGTTTTTAATATTTAGTTAAAAATACTATATATAAATTACATACAGGCTGATCAAATCAAATGTTCAGTTGAAAATGTATTAGTGCTTTGTTTATTTCACATATGTTTTCTTATGTCCCAAAGTTATTAAATCAACGTAGAATTAAGAAAACTAAAACGGACTTTTTTCTTCTATACGAGTGATTAAAAACATTCCAATACTATATATCTATACAATAAGTATAAAATCATCATGAAGATTGACTCGAAATTCTGTATTGTATGTCTTTGAATCTAAATCTACAGTCTATTGGTATATTTTGGCAGAATGATAGCTACGTTATATTTTTATTGGTACCATTGTTGGATGCTTAGCTGGAATAATGATGCTATGTTTAAAGTAATTATATAATAATCTGTCATTAAATGAGTGCCAAAAAACTTATTGTTTTAATCCACACACCTGATCCAATTACGCGTAGGCTGTTACTGTCTTCAGACAATTTCAAGAAATTAAATCTATATAACTATGTCATGTTTGCGAAACCCAAATAAAGCTGGCAAAGTTGTTCACCTTTGCTGCCAGACCCTACGTCGTTAGGCGCGAATTACTTGCAGGTAATTTTCACATTATTACTGCCATTATGTAGTTTGTTTAGTGGCTCTTATTGACTCATACAAATATGTACATAATTATTATAATTTGTTCCTACCACTCTGTTCTGGTTCAAACAATCATGGTAAGTTCAAGTGAGGTTAGGTCGTTTGGTCGGGCAACTTTGGGCGCCTGGCTTTTCTGTCTTTGCAAACGAGTCTTATACAACTTTTTGGATAATTGCGCTCGAGGCATTTATTTAAACTTGAACTTGTGTTTTTTGACATTAAGGTCTCTTATGAAGGGGACAAGTTATCAGACTGCAATATAATTTTAATACCGATATGCTGCAATAAACCCCTTTGTTAGACTTCAGATACTTACTGATATGATTAAAGGCCATGTTTGACAATTCTAGCAATTATAGCTTTCGAGATCCCTCCGCTCATTTAGACAGATGGACGACTGGATGAACTCTTACATATCGTTCCTTGCATCTTTTTGGGCTTTGAATTTACATGAGACAGAAGAGCTTATATCCATTATTCGAAGGACGCAGCGCTAGAAAAGAAGTTTCTCCTTTTCTAATAATTTATATTTCAAGTAAGAAAATTATTCAATATGTTTTAATTGAAAACAATACCTTTAAATTTGTATTGAAAACAAGCGAATCCAATTAGTAAATGCTTTGTTTTAAATCGTTCTATCCGGCCGATTTTTGAATTTCGGGACCCCAATGATTATCCTTCAATTTTTACTAATAATTCCCCATTCGGGTTTTTTATTTTGATTTTTATGCGCTGTGTGGCTTGTAGTACTAAACCTTAGCTAATTTTGTAATACAGTTTTTATTATATGGACTAAAATGAATTATTCGTTATTGGAAAAAGGAATATCGAATATGCATTTTATCGAAGTGTGTAACCGAAAATCCATTGAACAATTGGTTTTCAAAGCTAACTAGTGGAAACACAATTATAATAACAAACAAATTACAATTGATTTTCGAAATCAAACCAATTTCAAATTTCCAGTGGTGATTTAAAAAAAAAATAAAAAAGATCTTGAGGCGAATTTGAAAAAACTCTTCTGGCTTAAATCAAAATAAATAGGCTACGTTCAGGCAAGCAAATAATTTGCACATAAGTAGGGTTTCAAAAGTAAATTCTAAAGACAGCTTTTGTTAAAGAAAACATTAACAAACATTATAGAACTCTATATACCTAGTTTGAATTACAGTTACATTATATTCATAAAATTTCTAAAACTTTGTGTGTAAATTATTTGTTTGTTTGAACTTAATATGTGAATAGATCATGGCTACTTAATCAATGATTATTAGATTAGAAATATGTCTAATTTTATTTAATAAAGAACACTGGGGAGCAATTGAATTAAATGATCTTTTTTGTGCAAATTCTTACCAAACCACAAAATGGTTAATTAAAATGAACTAAATTAATAAACAATAACAGGATTAAATAATAGAATAAGAAGAACGCTAATATTTAGGAAGTTAGGAAAGTTATAAGTACAAATATTACTAATTTTATTTAATAAAGGACTCTGAGGAGCAATTGAATTAAATGATCTTTTTGGTGCAAATTTTTACCAAACCAAAAAATAAATGGTTAATTAAAATGAACTAAATTAATAAAAGGATTAAATAATAGAATAAGAAGGAAGCTACTATTTAGAAAGTTAGGAAAGTGTACAATCACTGGCTTTGTTCAGAGAGTTGTGGTTCTAGGTATAATAAAAAGAAAAACATACATACAGATTATTAGAGTGTTTACGACTCTTGTTCAGTCGAGATAAGCAAACGAGATCAATGCATTATTGTGTGCAACAACCGGAGCAGTAGCGGGTTGGGTCAAGGCACCCATTTATTTTAATGTGAGCTCGAAAGACTCAGGCTCAGTCATAATTCTCTTGGTTCATAGGGTGGACGTTGGCTCGGCCCTACTCAAATGATACTAAAAGTTGTGTGTTGAAGGGAAAATTGATCATAAGTTTAGAATGTGGGCATTTAAGATTAAAATAGATTATGTTTTTCTTCTCCATTCGACAGTTGGTCTTTAAAGAAAAGGGCCCGTTCTCGCCTACATACTTGTTTATCTTTTTACGAGAATGTCTCTAGCACGAAATCAATTTCCTTTTCTTTGACTCATTCGTGTTGGTCGGTTGGGAGACCTTGATTTACAGGTAAAGGTGAAGCATTTAAGCACCCGAAAACGTGGTATTTATGGGGATAGACACACGTGTAGAACCTGTTGGGGCAGTCAGGCCGAATGAGCTGTATAGTAGGACTGAAGCGAATATTTAGACAAAGAAATTTAATGTTTGGAATTAATTCAAAAGTGGAATTCGAATGCTGGAAAAATTCAAAAAACGCGATGAACGAGAAAGAAAGGCTCTTTGACCTTTGAGGGTCGGTGTGATTTCGAATGGAATCGCATTCGTCATGATCAGCCGCCAACACTTTCCTGACTCTGTTCACATTAAGTCGGGTGCTTAGTCGTTAAGGGAAGTAAATAGCTAAGCAAATGAAACGTTCTTTTGTCTAACGATGTGGAAAGTTGTTATGTAAATGGCTGTGAACACGACAGAAGCTCAGCCAGCTCCTAAGGTAGGCAAGACCAGCTTTGAAGGCTGGAAATGAAAAACGAGATACGAGGAACTAAAAAATGATCCTGTAGTTGTTGACGTTCTTACTTGTATGAAATGTTTTCTTTCGTTAGATGCATTTTTTTTCTTCGCTTTTTGGTAGTGGCTTTCAGGGTTGTTTCTTAAAGACTGGCAACCAATGGGTATGTCTTGGGTCAACGATGACCCTAACCTTCATGCAACGCTGAGCAATTCCCACGACAAATTATTCAATTGCTGTCTCTGCGAGGGCGAGGCTGGCTCCGTCTTCTTTCTTTCGGCTTCAGTTGTGACTAACTTGACCGTGGCGGTGCTTGAGGTTTTCTTCAAAATTATATACAAGTATGTATACTATACAACTTTGTATCTGAGCCATCAAGCGTTCATTTACGAACTCTAATTTTGGCCAGTCTTTAAACGTTGACCTAGGTGTCCATTATGCTAAGGCTGGTTATGCTATTATCGCAAATCATTTTTTTTGTTTTACTCTATGTTTTACGCGAATGTTAGCTACCAATATTGTTCCTTAATATATTCAAAAGATTGGGTAAGCTGAATATACATATAATCTGGCGATCGATTGACCTTAAGTGTATCCATTTTTTTGTACTTAATATTTTTAAGGATTTTAGATTTTTTTTGTCTTTTATTTTTTTATTCAAAAGCGAGCCCAAAATTGCCAAAAATTTTTTCTTTCTATCTTCTTAGATCGATTGTGCTTACATGTAACCCTTTTTTGTACGTAATACTTGTATTTGTAAGGATTTGAGTTTTTTGGAATTAAAAAGCGTGCGAAAAATTTTCTGAAATTTTTTTTTACTATCGTTTCTCACCTGATAATGCGTTCTGGGTTTAAAAGCGTGGGTTCAATAAACGAATCTAATTACCTAATTACTAAGTGCTTATAATATCAATACTTGATATCATTAATCATATTGTGCTATGTAGCAACAATGCAAAATATAAATAGGTAAAGTTTTGGAAAGTACTTCAAAAAATCGGTACTATAAAACAAATATTTTGCCACAAATGGGACCACTTTTGGCTCGTAAGTTTTTTACATTTTTTTTTTAAAAGAGAACTTCGTTTGTATAAGAGTGACATAAGATTGGAACATAATTTCTCTATCTAACCTAACTCTATCAGTTTGCAAAAAAATTACTTGAAAAAGACTTCATGTTTGTATTGAAACTGTCATTCTATATACATATAGTACATATATGTATGTACCTTTTAAAACATAAGTGAATACGTTTTTTTTTATTGTACATAAGTTTTTGTAGTACACACGTCTTTGAACGATGGATTGCTTAGGACTAGGCATTCTCATTCACTCTATTTTGGACGAGCGTGAACAGCTATTGTCTGTGAATTCGTTGCTTGATATATTAGCGGAGCTTCGAGCGACCCGTGATCGCGACTTTGTTGGTTATGTTTTGCGGCGTGGCACTGAGGCGGGCTTTTGGCGATTTCAGGACAATGGCTACGTGCTGAATTATGTAGATGATCCCGGAGCGGCTGTGGACCGATTTGTTCAAAATTTAAATGAAGGTTTTTTGACTGAAAGGGACGAAGGCTTTTGGGATGACGAAATTCATAGTGATGATGGTGGAGATCCAATAGCATGGCAATAGGAGGATCTGTGGTGAAGCATATACAGGCCATACAAAATCCACAAAAGTTGTTCAGAATTTACCGTGTAATACGTACTATAGTATATATTTTGTATGATGTGTGAGATCAACGTAGATTACACGTTCAGTTATGGCGACGATCATCTCTGACCATCTCTTCAATTACAAATGAATGTTCTACTGAACCTATCTGGGACTATATTCCACTTGGAAGCATCTTCCATATGCGAGAATTAGAAAATAGAAGTATTTCGATGATGATGACGTGTAGGCATGCGCTCAAAAGTCAGTTAATGGAGAGCT